CACCCACCCACACCCTTGAATGATACCGTTTGCAAAAAGGTCCGATAGGTCGATTTAGGCTCTAATACGGTTCGTCCTATATTATCCTTTCCCGCGTCATTTCCAAAACTAAATTTAAAAAATGAAGACCATTTTTCTTACAGCTCCCATTCTCACTCAAAATCACAGCCGCATACATGACGAACACGCAAATCATAAAGATCATTAAGATCACGATCATCAAAATCATCACGAAGTCTATAAAGAACATAATCATCTTGAAAACTACCATAATTATAAACAAAATAATAAGCAAGATCCCAATGACACGTAGCACCATCACGACGTCTAAAATGGTTCCAAAGACGTTCATGATTCCAACGCTGCCCATCCTTCTCGCTCCAATTTTTGCAATTTTGGATCCACTTCCAAGTGTCTTTGTTACCGGTAAATTGCCATTCACGACACTTACGACACTTGGTGCAAGCGCGACCATTACAATCAAGTTTATTGTGAGTGTCAGGTGAAGCAAATTCTTCTTGTTCTAAATGGAAATGGAAATACACATCAGTGATAGAAGAAAGGATTCTTGTAGTAAAAGTTGTGCGAGGAACGACAGACAACTGGCAAACAAATTGCTACTGATAAATAGATAACTGCACCAACATTTTTAGTCCGCTGTTAATATGCGGGAGCACGAATGTTGCTCTGCGCACATCTGCTCTCCAGCCCCACTCGCCTTCGAATACGTCAAGAGGTAGATGCGGGTGCGAGGTAGGGCGAGAATGTAGGCGAAGATGGTGGAAAGCCAAAGTGTCAGTTTGGGCTGCAATAGTGGTTCACTATGAATGTAGAGAGCAAATGTCTGGGGAGCATCTTTCATAGAAAGTTGATACACATATCATACAACACTGTTCAATGGAAGTTTTATCAAGGGGGAAAGTGCTGGCACCCAGCACCCTGGCACCTCAGCACCTTCTCAGCACCTCAGCACCTTTTCAGCACCTCAGCACCTTCTCAGCACCTTCGGATACTGAAGGTGCCGAGGTGCTCATACATTTTGTTCAAAGGTTAAAGGTCAATGGTCAAAGGTCAGCATCTTGACCTTTGACCCCATATAGTATGATAGACTAATGCAAACACCATGAGACATTTGTTGTTGGAAATCTTTTTTCCAATTTAGCGCATGGCATTTCTTAGAAAATTTTAGAATCAGCAGAAGAGACAAAGGATTTTTCAAACATGAATGATATATAGGAAACGCGTATACTTATCATTCCCGTAGAAAAATTCACAAAAGTCTATTACGAAGATGGATTACGCTCGTTGTCTCGTGCAATGTTATGGTACTGCATTCTTGATTCTAATTCCGAATAAAAGGTAAAATTCTCTTTCACAGCCTCTGATGCACTATTTTATGCTAAGAGCAAAATGATGCACGAAAAATAATGCATTTCTGGGCCAAATTTGATGCAATGCCCAAGTATAAATCGAATACTAATTCTCTTTCTATTAATGATTTCTTTCAGACTAAGAAAACAAAATTATACTTTACTAAACAAGGTTCGTATATGCTACAGTGCAAGTCTACCCTATCAACAGAAAATTTATACATGCAATAGCTCACGGGTTTGAGACGTCAAAAACACATTTCATGGCAATTTAGTATTTCTCAAAAATCACATAAAACGAGTTCAAAATAAATATAGGAAAACTGATTTTTATTCGAAGAAATGTTTTAATTTTAGGGACTGCGATGGGTTGGGTGAATAATTCGTCTGCATTTGAACACAATCTATACTTCATTTCTATATGTATCTGTTGAAATAAAAATAAAGAAGGGGGGGACCGTTTCTGTGGAAACTCGACTCCTTCAAGAAATTTGATTTGTTTAGTATCGAACACTTACATTAGGTGTCTAAAGGTGATTTCTAACGCAGTTGGTCCGATAACATTGATTTATGCTATATTCAGGTAAGCAGTTGCAAAATTCTAACCAAACAGAATTCAGAATTTTGTAACTTAAAGTCTATGCGATGAATTAAAACTCTCTTTGAATGTTAGAATTCTGTTCAAAATTCTGCTGGAAAATTAGAATTCTCAGCAGAATTTACAACAGTAATAATATAAAAAATGAGAGGTTATAAAATTCTAAATTTTGCTAGATAAGAGTTTTGCAGACCCTACCTTTTTCTGCATATTGTCGAATACTACTTTGAAACTTTTCCACTGGAAATTGTAAGAAGAATGAAGAAAATCTTACCTTTTGGCTTGCTGGATCGTGTAGCGGCAGGTTGCGATGATTTTTGTTTCCAACTTATAACACCCTTTTCTGATGGTGCTTCAATAGAAGATTGTGACTTCTTAGAAACCGGTACGTCCGATGATGTTGTATCAAAAGGTGGTTCCAAATATGGGCGTGGTGGAAGTGTTTCTCTCATATGAATCATATATAAATCCTTGGATGGACTCCATTTACCTACAACACGAAAGTAGGTACCAGGCAAGAGAAGAATTTCATTCTCTTTTTTGAAAAATGAATGTGCTTTAATAGATTTTCCATTGATACATTCAATATTAAACAAGGTTCGTATGCCAGATTTGCCGACAAACTGTTCCATAACTTCTACACTTTCAGTACATGAACTAAATCCCCACCATATGTGTTCTTCATCGTATTGATCACTTAAGTTGCCACAAACTCCCCGCCAGACAGTCATTCTCAATGATGGAAGTTTGTACAAAGCTGTGAGTATCAGTTTCAAGTACCGAAACCATGGTTTCAATGGTTCACGTCGTTCCGATCGAAGTATTTTATTGAGCTTAGTAAAAAGACTTACATTAGGCTCTTCCCATTGCATTGTATATAGATGAATAGCGGCCGATTCATTGGGAGTAAGGCCATCTGCAGGCTTCTTCGAGTTTTGTTTAGCCGTGTCTACCATCAAATCGAGATCCTCAAGTTGATCATTGATCGGTTCTACAGCTTCCTTCAAAGGTAATAATGGTTCCTTTGCATAGCCTCTGATAGGCAGCAAAACCTGATTTGGCTCCTCACTGACGTCAAGAAAACGAGAATTCATATTTTTACTCATCGCAGTAGTCATCACTATAAATTCGATTTCACAAATGACGATGGCATATGTTGATTCTACTAATGTAACGTTTTCACCATAGCTAGGAAGAACAGAACAAAAAGTGAGCATAAACGAATGAAAGAAAAAGAAAAACAGTAGCAGCAGCAGCAGTGTAAACAAACTAAAACCATTAAAATCATTGGTATACAGACACAGCAAACAGAGCATAGCGAAATAAGCGAATCATTGACAAAATGCACTATGTGTGGCGCCCTCTACATTAAGTCAGAGGCCCTAATAGCGCTGAGTACCAGGAAGTGTAGAAACTTATTCTGTATCGAACTGTACTATCCGCTTTTTCCGGAAAAGTGTCTGGAAATTAAAAACGTCACCATCACAGAGATGTTGCTATGGAAACATCCATCGCAATGGCGCATATATCAGTCATACAGATGAACCTGTATCTCGTTCTCCTTTCTTAGCCTAACTTATTTCATTGTTCTGCCGCCTTGTAATTAAGCCAGTATATGTGTGTTAGGTTCCTGTTCTTTTCATTAAATAAATCAATATGGACCTAAACCCTTTTCACAAAAAAGAATAATAAATCAATAAAAGAAAAAAACAACAAGTTATGACTAGAGAAAAGAAAAAAACAACTAGTGAGGAAAAAAGAAAGGACAACAACATATATCAGACGAGATGAACAAAGAGAGAATATGTCGATGATGAAGGATGGCACATCTATATATAATATAGATGGCAGATCCTGACACCTCCCCCCTCACAAAAAAAGGAAAAAAAAGAAAGGAAATAATAACAATAAAAACAGTAGCAACGACAAGAAAAAAGAAAAGAAAGAGAAAAAAAACAGACAACTGCAACAAAACGTGTCGGCTTGCAGGTGCACAACCAAATACATAACAATTTTGAGGATACCGTACGATCAGATGCTGTCAACTTGTATGCAACCATAGATTCATAAACGTAAGCAAACATTGGCAAATAATCATAAATAAATAGCTATAAATTAGAAAATAGTATGTATAAATCACCAAGCATAAATAATTAACCAAAAGCTCATAGTCATAAATAAACAATCTAAATAATAAGTGATTATAAATCAAAACAAATAATCATGAATAGATAAGTTGTATAAATAAATTATTGTAAATCAGTAGTCGTACATAAATAATTAAATAGGTAGGAATAAATAATATAAATCAATAAGCATCGATAAATAATTTAAATAAATTATTAGTAAATGATTATAAGTAAATAAACACAGATCAGTTGTAAATAATTCAAATAAATAATCATAGATTAATAATTATAAATAATAAACATAAATAGTACATCATCAATAAAGAATCGTTAATAAATAATTATAAATAAACAATCATAGATAATCAAGAAACATAAATGATCAGCAATAAATAATATAATATAAATAGTCATGACAAATAATCATAAATCATAATCATAAATTGAAAAATCCAAGGTGAATATATTAATACATGAAAGATTAAATAATGAGTTATAAATAAATAATTATAAATGAATAAGTATAAATAATAAATAAACATAAATAATGAACAATTATAAATAAATAATTATAAATATAAAATAAAATCATAAGTTGACAACTAATAATTGAATAAAAAATAACATCAAGTGTCTACATAAATACATTTTTCTTTTAAAAGGAAATGAATAACTGAGTATTAATAAATCAATGATGATAAAAAGTAATTATCAATAAGTGATAGTAAACGTTGATAAATATCTTTATTATAAAGTAATAACCATTCGTGTATTAATTCTTTATTAATTAAATCCGTTTGTTGTTATTTATTATTATTTAGAATTTTTCTAATAGTTGTTAATACATTCGAAGCATGAATAAATAAAAATTCAGTTCTTAATATAAATTGTTCATTAGTTTCTTGCTGAATACTAATTAAATTTTGAAATAAATTACTTATTAAACATAAAAAATTGTTGTAGTGAGTTGTTATAAACATAAAAAATGATCATTAATAAATAAGCAAAGTTAAATAAATGAGTAAATGCCTAGCCATAATTAAGATGGCTATCAGTGGAAAACCAAAATAAATGAAGAAATAAATGGATGATCATAAAAATAATCAAATAAATAATAAAGAATGAATGATCAAATAAATGAATAGTTAGATAAATAAAAATAAATAAATAAATGATCAGACATAAGTAACGAAAAGTAAATCAACAAATAAACGCATAATGTAAATAAATAATCAAATATAAATATGAAAAAAGAAATGAACCAATACAAATGCATGATCATAACTAAATAACCAAAAATAAATGAATCCGTAAATGAATAACCATAAATAAATAATCCTTTGATTAGCACTCATAAATGAGTAACTATAAATAAAGTAAACATGTTTCCACCTCCAGGATCAAATGCCCGGATCGAGAACCAATAAATGTTCAAAGTATGATTATAAATTTCGTTTATCAAAATCATTAAAATTTTTGTTATGATCATTTGTATTGCTTCTTCATTTTGCACTTGATGAACTGGTTCACTTAATACTGGTTGAACGTTTTTGTTTGACAAATATTGTTTTGGTTTTAACTTAAAACCAATTTTGATATCAATAGTCATGGATTTTTTTAAACTTAAACTATTAAATGAGTTATCATAATTTGGAGTTGGATCGATGGTTTCTGTTGGAATAGTAAATGATTCAAATTTATCTGCATTGTCCAATATCTTCTCCTTGTCAAAGATTATTTGATTTATTTCTGGTAATTGTTGGAAATCAGGTGAATCAAGATCAGTTTTAATTGATTCAATAAATATATTACTAGGTTCATTAACGATATTTGTTGATGTTGTATCACACTGTTTGTCAAAAATTACAATTTTATCAAGTTTTTCACTTTGAACAGTTGACATTTTACATTCATTTTGATCATCAAAATTTTCCTTCTTTAAGCCAAAAATCATTTGATTTGTTTCTATTAATTGTTGAGAAACCGATGGATCAACATCCGTTTTAATAGATTCAGTAACCAAATTATTAACTTCATTAACGATAGTTGTCGATATTGTGTCATTTTGTTTAGTTACTATTGGAAAAGTAGTAGATCGATATGAATCAGTTGGTTGAGATATTTGTATATTTCTATTATTTTCTTCTTGATATAATTTCATATTTTTAAACGAATGTTGACTACTATTTTGGGTAATAACATGTTCATCATTACAAAATATATTAAGTGAAATATCAACTTTTTCTGGTAATTCAAAAGTTTTAATAAATTTTTGTATAAAAGATTTCCATGTTAAAAATAGATATTTATTATCATAAAACCAATCTCGTACATCAGCCTCTAAACAGCATGGTATAAAAGTTAATCTTTCATCATCTGTTAATTTGAAAAAATTCATTATATGTTGAACTGCATTTAACCTTCTTATGACAGGTTGTTTTAATTTTTTTGAAAATTTCGTTACATTTTGAAAATGATTCATTAACATTGAATTTCGAAGTGAATCCATAACAACTTCTTTATGATCAATTGTTTCTGGTTGTTTCAATTGTGAAGGTGATGGAATGGAGGTAGCTGATGAATGTTTATTTAATTCTTGAGAATCATAATGATTAAGGAAATATTTAAAGAATGAAGCAAAGGTAGTCATATGATCTTGATGTTTAAAATACCAAAATTTCGCATTACCAGTCAATATCTCTGGAATAAGGTCAAATTGTTGTTTCATTGTTAAATGTAATGCGTCAAATTGATCAAGAACATTCTTTAACCCAAGCAGACAAACTTTTGAAAAAACTCGTTTAAACGCACAGAAATTGACCTAAAATCAGCAAAAAGTGGACGTTTTTGGCTCACACTTGAGGTTCCCGACTGTGAGCCAAAAACGCCCATTTTTCGTGTTTTTTGTGCGTTTAAATGCGTTTTCAGAGAAAAAACGC